GGCAAAGTTCCTTCTTGACGAAATATCGATACATTTTCTTCAGCTGCACGAGCGATCATAATCGAACTTACATCTATATATGAAAAATTAATTAAATCGATAGTACTTATAAAAATAACAATGATATATTTTACTCACTTGATAATTCTTTTAATTTTACTATGTCCGAACGTTGAAATACATCACCATTTGCAATAATTGGTATTGACTTTATATTTTCAACAATGTCATTAAAGATATCCCAATGTCCAGGGTCTCTCGGTCTCTCATCACGAGTTCTAAATTGAAAAACTTTCATGTAAAAAAAAAAAAAACCAAAATGAAATGGTAAAAAAATAAATGGTTTACATGCGTACCTACAATGAATTGCGATTGCTTTAACTCCTGTAGATTCTATCATTTTACAAATTTCTATTGTTTTTTCTTTAGTATCTAATATCCTATATATAAAGAAGTTAAGATCTGTTTATTTTAATGTAGACTAAATATAAAATTTGAAATTTCAAACCTTATTTTACAAGTGACTGGAAGGCCACAATTTTGCACTAAATTTGTTAATATCTATAAAACGATAAAAGGTCTATAAGTAAATGCTTTCTAAACGACTAAAAGTATTTGTTAAGGATTATTACTTACAGCCTTCAATTTGTCTGGATTTGATAATAAAGCAGCACCCATGCCACCTTGGATAGAAAACTTTTTTGGGCAACCACAGTTTACATCTATCCCTGCAACATCTTGTTTTCTAAATGACAACAAGAATAATCAAAGTTATAAAGGGATCTCTAACAATTTAAGGCACAATGAAAATATCAAATTAAAAATTCTAAGGATTCATTACACTTTCAATGCAGCTTTCAATGCAAGATCAGGATCAGCAGTTCCAATCTGAAAAATTAATCTTGATTTTTCAATCGGATGAGTTGTAAATGCCACTGAATTTTTATTATCTACATATGAGATCAACCCCGTCTTTTCTGCAAGAAATTTGAAAATATTGGTTATTGATTCTCCAGTATTATAACCGGAAAAATTTCCGAATTTTACCATCGAATTGCCGTTCTGAAGCAATCATTTTCTTATCTACCATTTCAGGTGAATAAACTAGATCTAAAAAAAAAGTATAATTAGCAGGATATATTTACTTGTCAAAAGTATAGGTAAGTAAGTTCACACCTGCGCCGTATTCTAAGGCCAGAAGTCTCATCGGTAAAGTTCCGATTCTAACCTATAGAAACTGTGAGTGCACAAAACTCTTAATAAGTAGAGTAAAAAATGACAAAAATATAAATACACACCATAGGAGCAAGGATTATTTTATTTCTATAATCTAAAGTAGTCATGTTTGGATATAAATGTCTTAGTGATCTAAAATTTTTAGTGAAAACGGTTCGTAATATCGTTAAAGACTGCATGATAGAGCATAGTTAAAAATTTTATCTGATTGGTTGGAGATCCATATAGTAACACAATCGGATCTACTGATCTAATTCGTCAAGTTTTCAAGTTTGATTTATTTGATTTCATTGGTTAAAATAATATAACAATATCTAGGACGATTATAAAATACATATCTAACATTATGTAGTTGTTCTAAAGTACATTCATTGTTTTAAATCCTCAATATCGTTAGATGTTCTAAAAATTTTAGTTTTTTAATGTTCCCACAAAAAAAATCAAGTGGGGTAAGATCTGGTGAACGAGGAGGCCATTCGTATGGTTCTCTACGACCTATCCATCGATTAGAAAATCTTTTATTAAGATATTCACGAACATTAATGCTAGAATAAGCAGGCGCACCGAAACATGATATTATTTTCAGAAATCAAATTATTTAATTCAGGAAGAAATTTATTTTATAGTGCTATAGCACTATGGTGCTAGAGTATTGTGGCCAATTAAAATTTAATATTGAGCATAATATTCAGATCACCTCTTTGTATAACAAAAATAATGAATTTTTAAGAAATTAGTTATATCTTAAAATTTTAAATAAAATCCATCTTTTGTATCTAATAAAAAAAAATTTTGATTATAACTAATTTTCACCCTAGGTGATATCACCCGGTATTATAAATTTTTTATTACAAGTAAAATAA